TAAGGAGCTGTAAGGAATGCTTTTCACCTGGCATTGTCTTTTACCCTTTCAATTGCACTTTTAAATAGAAAAGCGAAACTGCATAGGTTGGTAGCCAGCCCTGACTGGAAACCACATTTAAAGCTTCCAAAGTTTCCACTTAATTTACCTGTACAGAAACGGTCTATTATGCTGCTTGATAGCATGATGCTGAATGCATACTTTCGGCTTGAGTACTTTTTTTTTAGTTTGATGTCGGGAACACTTCAGTCCACCTGTTGAGTCTGCCCAGAACCTCAAGAGTAGCTTGATGTAGCTTGTTTATAATGACCGATCCAAAAAAAAACAGTCAGAAAACCAGTTGTGGCTAGCCTAAGGCACACCTGTGCAATACTCATGCCGTCTAATCAGCATCTTGATATGCCACACCTGTGAGGTGGATGGATTATCTCGGCAAAGGAGAAGTGCTCACTAACACAGATTTAGACAGATTTGTGAACAATATTTGAGAGAAATAGGCCTTTTGTGTACATAGAAAAAGTCTTAGATCTTTGAGTTCAGCTCATGAAAAATGGGGGCAAAAACAAAAGTGTTGCGTTTATAATTTTGTTCAGTATATATATATATAATTTAACATTGGCATATTAACCTTATCTTTTCAATGCGGAAGTAAGCTATTTCCTGAGAATGTGTGGGACTTCTGATTCATTCATTATTAAAGTACACGTGCAGTAGACAGTAAAACTATTTATGCAAAGAAGTTTGCATATCATAAGCAACTAACACTGAAAGCCTCGTTTGCTCTTAGTTTCAAATTAAGGTAGAGAGGCTTTGTTAGCAGACGATATGCTAGGCTATTGTGGTTAGCCTGTGAAACATAAGACTACTAACACAAAGAAAATTTATAAACGAAATGGTTTGTTTCAAAATCTATAGTTTTGCTTATATATTATTATATACTATGTAACAAAAACTATTAATGATCCTGTTAACAGTTCAGACGGCATGCACCATGAAGCCATTTTGTAATCAACCACTGAATAGGCTAACCATTAAAAATTATTTTTGCCAATAGAATCGCTTTGAAGACCTAGGCAAACTCAACAGGCACACTGAATTGTTCATTACAGCGGTCCTAAATTTAGCATTAACACTAAAAGAATATGCAAATAAATAAAAAAAACTCAACAGACTCTCTAGTTGGTTGGATATCTAGTCCATGACTCTCTAGTTGGTTGGATATCTAGTCCATGGAAACAGAAAGATCATAATGAGAATTTTGGATACATTTCTCACAACTTGTTCAAAGCAACTGTCGTCTTCTCTGTTTAAATACCTTCTGGGACTGTTATGATCTCATGCTTAATTTGATTACCGCGCAGCTTTAGACCGGCTGAGGGAAAGACTAATAAACAAATGACCATCAGTCCAGTCACTGTTCACAAGCATTCTTCTGGATCCTGTTTCTCCATTTTTTTTTCCCCGCACGGCTCCGGTGGCCCACTGCAGTAGTCATGACAACCCCAGCAATTTGGGTTTTTGGCCAGAGTTTAGTCCAGCAAGGAAGTTCTTTATTGACATCTTCCCCCCAGGGGTCTTGTCTCACCCAGTTTCCCGCCCAGGAGTCTGGCTATCTCTCTCCCAGGGGCAGTACAATCCTGCTGGGCATAGCACCGCAGGAGAACGGGGGAATGAGCTGGTGCTCAGGGCCTCGCAGAGGTTAGTTGGAGGCAGCACATGCTTGGGGGGAGGGAGAGGCAGTTATACGGGGCCAGGGTGAGGGCATTTGAGTGTGTGTGTGTGTGTGTGTGTGTGTGTGTGTGATATATGGGAGAGCACCCTGCAAACTTTCACACACACTTAAGATCTGGGAAGGAAGGTGTAAGGTGCAAATGCTTCTAGAGGGGGAAGGGAGGGAAATTCGAGAAAATAAAGAACACAGAGAGCTACTCTGGAACATGTTGAGGCATGCACAGCACATCGGAGATTCTGCCCTGTTGCTCTTTGAACTTGCAAAACCTAACAGGAAAATATGTCCACGATTCACTTAAGTTGATTTGCAAAGAAATTAAATGTATTTCTGGGAACACACCCTGAGCGTCTGAGGATGCTTGCCTGTTTTCCAGGCATGTGAAATCTGTTACTGCCTTGCCTGCACTGAAAGCTCAGAACACATTTCTAATGTTTAAGATGCTTGCACCTATTAGCAGTGATTTATTCCACTGACTCTGATTTATTTCTCTGAATCATTTGCAATCTCTTTTTGCAGGTTACATTGCTACACCACTATGTGGAGCCAGAGTTTTTGCTTGTAATGAGTCATTGAATCATTCATTCAACCCATTCGTTTTTCATAACTCTTAACAACAAACTACACGTCAAGTCACCTTTATTTATATAGCACTTTATAGAATACAGATTGTGTCAAAGCAGCTTTACAGTGTTAAACAGGAAAGTAATGTTTCAATAATGCAAATAAAATTCCATTCTCTATAAAGAGGACAATAGTAAACAGTAAATTTTTCAGTTTAAGTCAGTTCATTGTTGATTCAGCGATGTCATCATCCAGCTCAGTTCAATTCTTATCCAATAACATGTCCAAAACACCTCATTCATTTGGTTACCAAGTTCGTTCAGGTCTTTTTAATGAATAATATGGTGTGATGTTCAGAGTCTATATTATGACTCAGTGCGTAGAAATAAAAAAATAAACATTCACCTAAAAGATTTTTTCAAAAGCACACATTTGTTTCCAAATTAAACTCGACACATATCATAATTTATAATTAATTTATGCATTTAGCAGACACTTTTATCCAAACCGACTTACAGTGCATTCAGGATATACATTTTTTACCAGTATGTGTGTTCCCTGGGAATCGAATCCATGACTTTTTGCGCTGCTAACGCAATGCTCTACCACTGAGCTACAGGAACATCATATCATACCTGGGGGATTTATAAGCCATCCTGCTGCGAACATGATTGATAGCATCATGGTAGCTCAAGCAGTAGTGTATGGAGCTAGCAACACCAAATTCATGGGTTCACTTCTCAGGGGATGCGTAAACTGATGAAAATGTAACTTCAGTGCAATGTAAGACACTTTGGATAAAGTCAAATGCATAAATGTAATGTCTGAAAATCTTACATCTTGTTGAAGAGAGGTGTGCTGTAACTTTAAGCAATCAAACTTAATTTTCACCCTGTGGACAGTTTTACTCAGACTAGTTATATAATTGATGTTCAAAGCAGACATGGTGTATATATATATATATTTATTTATTTATTTATTTATTTTTTACTGGAAATTTAATTTCAACTGTCTGAATTATTTCCAGTTGCTGGAATTGTTTTTTTAAAAAGCAGTGCATTGCAGGCATACAAACATGCTTAGCTCAGGAGCGTGGACTGTTGGAGCTGACTGAGTCCCTTGTCTTCCTGTTCAATTAAATCTGTTTGGCCAAAACAGTTGGATGGCACTGGACAGATTTGAAAACAAATACACATTATAGGTCTACTCGCTGTTGACACCAAGAGCTGGACTGCTTTTACAGAGTGTTGAACAGATGCTTTTAAACGCTTGTGATGGCCTGTTATTCGTCTGCTCCTGCCGTAGACATTCAAAGCTACACAAGTCTGCTGAGTTCATTAGCAGGAAATAGTGTGTATGTCTGCATCTCTGTGTGTGTTTGCATTCATCAGCTTCTGCACCAGCGTACCATTAAGCCACCTCAAATGGGCATTTTCCGAGATTAACTGAAGATATCCAGAGGAAATTAATGAGCTGGTTAACGGATACCAGCTGAGATTGGACACAGCTTTCTGAGCATGAGTATATGCTCAACAAACCACCAGCGTCTGCTTAGTGCTGCCGTCTCTTCTCGTTTGGAACAGCTCCTGTACCTATTACTGTTCATATTGTTGACAAAAGTGCTTTGCTGTTAGAACTGGTGCATTTTTGTAAACTTTTTATCTTTTCTTTTTTTGTCACTATAGTGCGCTTGCAATACAATTGAACTAAACCGATCTACCGTCTTTTTGAATAATGCGTGAAGTATTAATTTCTAGGTCTGCAAGCAACACAATCTGATTGGACTAGCTTTGAGAAAAATAAAAAGGCATATCCATTTTGATGCCATCCGTCTGGCTATTACATTCATGATGATATTTTTCATCAGATGTCATAAAAGAAAAATTATCTAGGAAAAATGTCATCCTGTAATCATACAGAGAAATGCATAACAGTCTGTTCTCACCTCCGGAAACCCTTCTCGCCTTGCCGCACATATCTGAAAAGATTGCTTGACAGCTAAGCGCACAGGGAATTACTTCAGTTTTGTCAGCCAATTGACTTAGATAGGAACACTTGCCCCCGTGTTCTGAACAGGAGATTTCTTTACCTCTGAACGGCGATTTATTGAAGCTCTCGCTATAATGAAGGTTTTCAATCACTTGTGTCAGATATTCTTGAGTGTGTTCTATTATTGTCCTGTGCACCTCTCTTAGTACTGCTCGTTTTGTCACTCTAATTGAAAATGTTCATTATGACACCGCCTCTCTTGGGTTTTGGGGTTATTCGACATGAAAGGAAAGAAGAAAACTAGAACTGAGTGAAATAATCTTTCCACCCCCTCAATTACAGGCTTTTCTATCAGCCCCCTGAAGCTTTTTATCCAAACAAATCCAACTTTAAAGAAGGGATGTGCAAAAGTACATATTTTCAAAACCAACTAGTCAGTGGGTTGTCTGAACATCTAGTCAGCTAATTGGTCTGAAGAATACACTCTATAATCGAACTATCTGTCTGTCTGTCCATCTCATCGTTTGGTGTAGGATATACTTTGTAGTTGTTGTGACAATTTCTGAGTGAAAATTGTGTTAAAGAAACGGCAAGTAACACTGAATTCAACACACAATTTTCAAGTAGAAAGACTGTGAAATAATAGTCTTAAATCTTTCATTAACAAATTTGAAAAATCTTTAAAATAATTTGCATTCTGCATTGTTGTTACAGATCACAGTATCTGATCAGGGCGTTCCTGTGAAGTCCGCCACTGTCCGTGTCATCGTCAAAGTCCTGGATGAGAATGACAACAAACCACAGTTTATGGAGAAAGTCTACAAAATCAAACTCCCAGAGCGTGAAAAGCTGGAGAAAGAGCGTGCCCTCAGGAGAGATCCCGTGTACCGCGTCATCGCCTCAGATCGAGACGAAGGGCCAAACGCTGAGATTTCCTACAACATCGAGGACGGAGACGAACAGGGAAAGTTTTTCATTGAGCCCAAAACTGGCATGGTTTCCTTTAAGAAGTTTTCTTCTGCTGGAGATTATGATATCTTAACGGTGAGGACCTAGCCATTTCTGTAGCACATATTCTGTCATTTTGTATTTGCACTCTTGGAAAGATTAGAAATGTGCAAATAGCAAGATATGAAAAACTGGATCCTTTGTATTGCGAATGTATTTGCTTACTAGCTTGAGTTACAGCCCCGTTATTATGACTTGGAATGTAGAAACCTGAGCTTTCAGATTTGACACACACTACATTTTTCCTGAATGTCCCTTTGATTGAAGTTTTACAAGTGTAAAGTGAACTTCCTGCCTGCCCATGTGGCCCATGACATTTTTTGCCAGACCTCCCATTGTTTCATTACCTAACATCTGTCGCTTTCTAAAGTCACAGTGACAGGTGTTCTGGTACCGTTCTGTCTTTCCCACGTTTAGTAGTATTGAGATAGTTGTATCTCTCCCTGACTGAGCTTGAAGTATTGCCATTTTGGTACCACTAACAGCACCACTTAGAGAATTGCTAAAATTATTATTGTTCCCAAACATATGAATCCTAAAGCCATTATTCTTACTATTTTATGGCCTCTGTTAGCTTCCATACATTTTTAAACATTACAGTTGTTATGTTAATAAATAACACTGTAATATATATTGCAGTTGTATTATTTAATTTTACACATCTTAGTCTTCTTTTCAACATTTAATCCACCAGATTAAAGCAGTAGATAATGGCCGACCCCAGAAATCGTCCACCTGCCGTCTACACATCGAATGGATCCCCAAGCCGGAGCCGAGCGAGGTCCCTCTGGCATTTGACGAGCCATTTTACTCCTTTTCTGTCATGGAGAGTGACCCCGTGGCACACATGGTCGGGGTCATCACTATGGAGTCTGTGGATACACCAGTCTGGTTTGAAATAACAGGTATGGTGGATGTAGATTTTGAGAGTTTATTGTGTGTTGGTTTGACCTGTTTGGCCTTTACATACTGAAGCTTGGATTCTAAAAAGCATCTTTGTTAGTATGCAAATTTGTAACAAACTAAGATGATGAAATCTTTTTTAGAGGAAGTTTCTTTGCATGAAATAACCTCTATCTTTTTGTGTATCTTCTCAATAGAACTCTCATAATATGACTTAAAAATAGATTGCATCTTCTTCCTGTCCCTTTATCTTTTAACCACTGACAGCTTTTACTTTCTCTCTTCCTTGTTTTGGAATGGTTTGGTTTCTTCTGCTTCTCTCCTTCTGCTTTCCTCCTCTTGTTTGTCTCCTTGCTCCTCTTCTTGGCTTTGGAAGAGGACATGGCGGCTAAAGAGCTGTTTTACATCGTTCAGATGGCTTGCGACCTGAACTGCACCGCAGAAGGTATCTGCGCAGATCTCCTAATTCTACTGTGCGTGGCCATTATGAGATCTGTCATGTGCTTTTGTACTCATGCTTTTGTGACTGTTTCACATTGGTTGCACCAGGTCCCAAGTGTTGAATTTCTTTCCATAAGTGCTTTCGAGCTGGCAATGAAAGAGTTACATTTAGATCATTAAATCAAAACTTGTCTCTGTCCACCCTATGAGATCCATAAAGAGTAGCTTGTTTTCCTTGCCAGCCTATGCACTCAGTGTTGTTCACTTTGAAGGCATAGTGCTCTCATTTTCTTTCATGTATGGTGTTTTTATTATTGTTATATTTATGTTTGGTCATATAATCAGAAAAAAAAAAGTATTGCTGGTCAATGGACGCTGGCTAGATCAAAAGAGCAGGATGACTGATACATTGGTGTAATACAAATGAATGGAAATGAATGAAAGTGAATGAAATGCACATCAAATTGCTGAAATCAGATGAACATTGTTTACTCAAAATTCATATAAAATATAGAAAATTATACATTGGCAATACTGTTGGTGTTTTTAATCCCTCGTGGTTACTGGCCATAATCGCAAAATGCAAAGCAAAGGTTTTTTTTAAATACTGATTTAAATCAGTATGTGGGTCAAAGATGGGGCTTAATTTGTGTACATTACAATATTTAATCTAGTACTTTTTTCCAAAATATATTAGAGATGCAATTTCATGACATACACTAACTTGAGTGTACCTCTTTTATGAGGAACATGCTTTTTTAATTTCAGAATTTTAATTTATTTTGATGTTTTCGTTTGGGGCATAGCTATTAGCTGTCCTGATATAAAGAAATTAAAGAAAGTGCCATCATATGAGTCCTAATATAAAGGAAAAATATATATATAATTCTTGAAATTAAACCCTCAGTAGTTTGGCGTACATTTTCAGTCAAATAATTAACAAAAAAAAGATTTTTCCTTATTTTATTTTTTATTGTAGACACTCTTATTTTGTCATTAATTCATATTTTTATTAATAGGAACACATAATCTTGTGGATTTTCCCGCACTAAGGCAGCAAAATGGCAGAATGTATGTCAAACAGCCATTATTGTGGCATACACAAAAAGTGTGAAACAGTTGCTCTGAAACCACAAATGTGACACTCTGACTTTTGCCACCTGTGCAGTTCTCTTTTTCTTTCTCTCCTGTCTTCAACTGCCTAACTTGTGATGATGGCCGTCTAATTTCCTGTCCATTTTGGTTGTGGTGAAAACCTCCTCTCAACAGGTGGTAATTCTGACAGTCGATTTGAGGTGGGGAAGGCGAGTGGGACGGTGATTGTGGCCCAAGCGCTGGACGCAGAACAGAAATCCCATTACAACCTGACGGTGGACGCAACAGATGGCACCAGATCTGTCAGCACGCAGGTAATTGAATTGCTAATGAACTGTTTATGGAAGCAGAGCATTGTTCGCTCACCATAGAGGCCTGGGCTTCTTTTTTGAGATCACTACAAAGGGCAAAAAGTGGCTCAGATTTTTTTTATGTGTATATTTCGCTGGTGGCAAGGAAGGAAAAGCAACCCAAGCATTTCCAGCTTTCCAAATTGAGTTTCCTCATTTGGCTGCACTGGCACTGAAGGTCCCAAAGGTCTTTCCTGAATAAGCTCATATCAGCCTTAAGGATTGAAAAAGGAGCACAACATCTTGCTATTGATGCGGATGTTGATAAGTCTAACGAACGCACAGAATACAGTTATTAAACCTAATCCAAATACATGTTTTTCAAAGATTTTTTGAGGTATTTATAGATGCGTTCTGTGCAAGTTCAGTGTGGGCCGGGTCATAAGCCGTTCTAGGAAAAAGGTTAAAAATACCAAACTTCAGACAATTTTTCTGGTTAGATTTAGGTTAGTTATTGTAGACATTAATGATGTCTGAAGGTTCCCTAAATGTTCTTCAAATGCCTCACGTCACAACATGCTGGCAGACATTCCTTGGCCTGGCGGACAGAGTTTTTGGCCAGGGTTCCTGGAATCTTCCATTGTCTCATTCCTGGAGTGTGTGAGGAGGATGAAGCTGTCTGGCTCCCTGCTTTTTCATTTTGCTTTCTCTGACAATCTTGCTGTCTTTCTTCAATTCAGTTATATATTTATCCTATGAGAACATTAACCACACCTTTCAATAATGTTTATTACAAAGTTGATTCTACAAGGTTCTTCAAACTCATCAGTTTACTTGAACCTTTGCTTTTGTTACAAATAAGATGATGACACTTGCTCTTTTTTTCTACTTTCTAAAGTTGCCATTGAGCCCGTTGTATCTGTTTTGGGTTTTTGGATAAAAAAATGGATGAGAGATGCTATCAATCTTTTAAAGTCGGGGCAATTTTAACAGGAATTTAATAGGGGAAAAAATATCTTTAATCAAAATCAAAGTATTTAGATGAACACCGTTTTTAATAAATCAGATGATCATTATATATTATTACACAGATATTTAAACCATTTCAAAACATTACAGCATATATATCACTAGACTTTTGCCCTAAACACTGATTCCTAAAAGCTAATATAATTAGCACCATATAAAAGTGAGACTATGCTGTATTAAATTAATATTATTATTACTTTGAGGTGTGCTTTTTTTATAAAGTAGTTAATATAATGTAATTGTGGGGTGAATGTAACACTCTGACTTTTTGTATTTACTTTAATAGTATGATCTCATCATTATTATAAGTTCATTAATAGTACGGGTTGGCACATTTAATTTATTTTTCTACTAGAAGAATTAGCAGGTAGGTTTGTAGTAGTCTGTGAGTTATGACAGAAAGTGTAAAACATGTCATCTTCCCTACATCATTTATATCGCCTCCAAACAGCTTGCACAGTTTATGTGCTGATTTCCTGTTGGATCATGAGTAAATCTTTGCATATGGTCCTAAAGAGGTCACTGAAGCAGCGGGGCTGTCTGATTGAGGGCCGTGTTTGTGCCCTCACTCTTACGAACAGAGCCTGCATTGTGACCGGCTGCACCAGCCCCCTTCCCAGGATATGTTTAGGCAACACTGTCGGAACTCTCTTGTGATCAAGCAGATCACTGTGGCCAACGATTCCACCGCACACATACATTCCTGCACGCAAAGTTAACTGCCACGAATATCCTGAACCGAAGCCCCCACCATCTAACTCATTCTCCCTCTTATTGATGACATTTCCAAACATAAAGACAGTGACATGACACTGTGAGTCTTTGCGCTGCAGCCCTTCAAAAGTGTCTCTCGATCGGCCCTGCTTAATCTGAAGCCATTGTTGGACCTTAAAACCTTTCAAGTCGAATCAGTTACAGTTGTCACATTCAAGGGGCACAGAGTGCAGATTTCAGTGCCCTGCGTCTGGCTTTGACTGGACCTGCTTGTGCACACATTTTTTGGGTTATGACTCTTTTGCTGTTGGGTTTATCGTGTTGATGTTGTAATAATCATAACTGCTTGAGGTTCAGTTGAATTTGTTGACCTATGACGATTGAGGCTTTGATGGGAAACATTAAACTGGCTCTAGATCAGTGATCGCGTGTCTCATGACAGTTTTATCAGCTGATCTACTTTTAGTCCCCTGTAATAAAAACTGATATTAAAATATTTTGTAAGACTGAAAATCAACAATGGACAAGAGCTTTTGGGTGATTCTCACAACAAATGTGGTTCATATTTCGCCCCATAATCAAAACAGAAAAAAAAAAAAAATTATACTTTGCACAAAGAAAATAAAGAACATTTATTTATTTGACTTATTGATTGATTTACTGACATTATTGTCATGAAAATTAAATGCTTTCCAGACAAAATTTCATTACTAAAAGAGACTTTTTTTTAAATTTTTTTGCAATATTAAAGAGAATACAACAGTAAAGAGAATTTTCATTAAAATAATGTCAGAGAGCAAAACTCTGATCCTAAAATAGTAAATAGAATTAGAATAAAAATATAATTCAAAATAAAATATAATTTTTTTCCCCTTTTTTGTGATGAAATACGACCTGGATATATTCTTCTAACTGAGATGCTAGAAATAAAACTCCTATTAAATTTCATAACCTATAGCTTGTGTCTCAGTACAGGTCTGACTGTACTAGACTAGGGAAGAGACAGTTTGTTTTTCCTTTGCAGGCATCCTCCGTACATTAGACCACCCTGACAGGAGTTTTCAGTTTGCTGGCTAATTAGTAATGACAAAAGACAGTTTATACTCAACACTTCCAAATACCTCTGTAAACGCTCAGGCAGGTGCTGGAAAGAACACAAGGCCAAACGAACAAATCAGGCAAATATTTGCCCTTAAAATTAGAGAGACGATATTAAGTGCACGCCTGCAGGCTTTCATCTCACCTTACAAAGCAAGAGAAGGATGGATGGGTAATATAAACCATTTGAAGCTTGTTTCATCTTTGATTTCTTCATTGACCAACTTCTGAGTTTGGAACCAAGGTTATTTTCATAAACGAAAACTGAAACTAAGACTAAAACTATTGGTCAAAAAACATGTTCGTAAAATGAAATAAAATAAAAATGTAAAAATAAATGACAAATTAAAACTAAACAAAACTAACAACAGTAACTGAAAAACTAACTAAAATAAAATAATAATTAGCAAAAATAAATAATCGTGTTCTTGATTGAATAAGCTCTCATTCGGTGCCAGAAAATCTGACCTGTGGCTGTTTAGGGAAATACCTGTAGAAGGCGCTTTATGCACGTGAGCTGAGTCCTAAGCGGCTATTCTATTCACATGCGTTTTTGCATTTAAAAAACAAGACGTGGAAAATGAAATGGGAAATAACTATAAAATATGAAATGGGATATAATAATAATGCACACCCTACAGCGCACGTACGTTTAAAAGCTTACTTGACGTGAGAGTGAGTTAACAGACACAGAATTACAATTTTTGGATGAGCTGAGTTTAGTGAATAGTCATTTACGATTACTATGGCAACGTCCGCCTCGAGTCCATAACACAAGCACGGCTTTGACTGTACAAAACGCATCCAAATTGAGAGAAAGCGGCAGCCGCTCGGTGATTTCACCACTTGCCGTGTCCTGTGTAGCTTGTGAACTGGGATTGATTGCGTTGCTCATCTGAAGCGTGTGCACGCTGGAGCGGTTTGTCAAAGTAAAGTGCAAACATAATTTAAATCACCGTATCGCATTTAGTTTTGAGTAGTACGAGGTTTCAAAGCATTTTAGATTGTTTCTTTTTATTGTGCACGTTCATAGAGGGAGAGACGGGACATACAGCAGTGTGCACTGGTGGCTCGTCTGTGCAAAAGATCCAACAAATTAATGCATTGAAAGCACAGATGGACAAAATGTAAGTTTACAGAGTTTCAATGACGATTACAAAGAACAGGTTTCCTCAAATCCAGGTACAAAATATACTACTGTTCAAAAGTTTGAGGTAATCAGGTTTTTTTTATTTTATTTATTTATTTTTATTTTTTTGTCTTTTATGCTTACCAAGACTGCTTTCCCAAAATACAGTAAAACTAACATTGTGAAATACTAATACAAATTTAAATGACTGTTTTCTAATTGATATATATACATTTTATAAAATATGTAACTGGCGACTGGAGTAATGGTTGCTGAAAATAATCATTGTCTCTGTCACATGATCCTTCAGAAATCATTCTAATATGTTGATCTGCTGCTCAAGAAACATTTCTTATTACTATCCAAGTTGAAAACCGCTGTGCTGTTTAATATTTTTTGAAAAAACGGTGATAATTATTTTTTACAGAATTCTTTGAAAGTTCAAAGAACGACATTTATGTGAAATAGAAATCTTTTGTATCATTATACATTTCTTAACTGTGACACTTTATTTAATGCATCCTTACTGAATAAAAGTCTCAGTACTGACCCCGAACCTTTGAACAGTAGTGTAATATAACTGTGTATGCCACAATTCTTATGTGCTTGGTACAAGAAAGATGTTAAATCCAAAAAATAGCATTCCTAATCATTCCTAATTCCTAAGAGTTTTCTAGGTATGTGCGTGCTTGTGATTAAGTAACACCCTCATTGAGACAAACAAGACATTGAGGCGACCACAAGGGTCAAGCATTAGAGATCGGCTGAGCGAATTGGATTACAGCTGCAAAACGGAAACATTTTCAAAAAACCTAAAATGTAAAATGCAATTTAGTCTGAAGTCTAAAATTACATATGTTGCTAAAAGTAGCGCTGGTATGTTCCATGTTGTTGTTGCCTATATATATATATATATATA